TAGAGCTCCTCAAAGCACCAGGATACAGTTCTGCTTTCATCCAGAACAGTGAAATACCTGCTCACATTTAGCAAATGAAGCACCTCTTTCACCTCACTCAGTGATTAATTCTGAGAGGGGAACTGCAGACACTAAATTAACCTTTTTACCTGATTTAGTTTTACTAAATAAACAGCCCCATAATGTAATTTTCTCAACCAGAGCTGCTGTTTTCTGCTGTTTGCTTTGCTCTTTGGAACGTGTTCTGTTCCAGCTCTATTTCATTCAACTTGGTGACAGTAATATCTTCAGACTGTCCCCTTCACCCTGGGGGTCCCACCAGTAAATCCGTCATTCTTCCCAGAAAATAGATTATTAATTGGAAACATGTGTCAGAACGTGCAAGAACACCAACAGCGACACGAATGTGCCTTCTCCTTAGCAGCATTCCCAGTTTTACCTTCTCAGTGTCGGCAGAGGGGTGTCATAGAATACAGCTTTTCTTCCATTTTTCCCTTCCAAAGCATAAAAATTCCTTGATATTTCTCAGTTTTAAAGAGGCAGTTCTTATTAATTTCCTGGCTGTGGCTACACTTTTCTGTAGAGATCAATATTTATAACTGGATATTTTGTGTCCTGGGGAGTTGATATCAGCACTGTAGGAGTTTATAACCTTACAAAAAGAATAGTGTTGCTGTGATGGTTGTAGATGTGCCTTTCCCAATGGATAACTGGCACTTCTCTGTGTGGATTAGGATCACGTTGGCTGCCGGTGCATCTGAAAAAGTCTGAGTTATTTCTTCTGGCAACTAGCAAGAGTGTGTGAGTGAAACGTGCCTGGATGTGGAATATGGAGACAGAACTATGCTGGCAATGTTCCTGCAGCTGTTCCTTGGGAAACATCTGTGGGGCTGGGCGTGGAGGTCTGTGCATCTCTGTTCACCCCTCACAGAGCAGTTTGTCTCCTGAAACAGAGGTGTGAATTACTGGGGAATAAGAGCAGCCCATGATGCCCCAATGGAGTGAAATGACTAAAGGTTGTCCTTTGAAAAGCAAGGGGGAAATGGAATATTCCTTACTGGCACAAGGATAAGGTCAGCAGACTCCACAAGACTTCCAGAATTCCAGCTGCCTGTTATTTCAGTAGGAACAACCGATCCACCGGACTGAAATTTTTCACATTTGCAGTTGGAAAAATCCTTCCATCTGTGATAGTCTGTGTTTGTATTGGCTGATAAAGAGAATTATATACTGGCTGATGCCATCTCATAATTAGTGATTATCCCTGTACAAAGTATAGAAGACATTGTCCCAGGATCTCAATTTTAGTAATAGACATACAAGAATTTAAGACAGCCTGGGAAAGGAGAGAAAGGAGTATTTTGTGAGATAATTAAGGGCTTCTCATCTTTTGTGGAAAAGGGAAGTGTTAAATTGGAAAATAAGTGTGAATTCATAAAATAAATTTACAATATGCAGTCCTTAGAGCTGAATGCTTCCTAGCAAATCATTTTACTCAGCAGTTGCCTAGTTCTACAGGCAGGAAGGTGACTGCCTTTATTTTTTTCCTTGGTTTAACTTTTAATGACTAATTTAAATTCCATTTATGCAGAATCCCTGTGATTTTGAAAACGCCTCCTGAAATTATGCAGAACCACCTTTCTAAAAAAAAAAAAACCAAAAAAAACCAACAAAACTTTCCAAAGCCTTAAGTACAACACTGCCTAGAATTATCCTGTCAATTAAATAAAAGAACCCACTTAAAGTAAGTGACAAAAATATACAGTGGATTAAATGCACCTTCCAGTAACAAATGGTTATTAAAGGAGGCCTCTGAGCCAACTGCTGGTTCTGTGGTCATGCTTGGACAAGCAGGAGGCTATTGAAACACACAGCTGCCTTTCAGACAATTTAACCTGCACTGAAGGCAGAGCATTGCCATTTGATGGCATTCCCTGGGCTCCTGGAAGGTTCCCTGGAAGGTTCCCAGTGGGAGCAGGACTGGGGCTGCACCTCCAGCTGCTGTTCAGGTGCTGCCTGCAGAAAGTGGGTATGTGCATCAGGAAATTGTATTTTATTAGGCCTGGAGATGCAGTGTAGGTTTCTGACAGTAGCTGGAGTGGGAGCCAGCCAGGACTAAGACAAAGGGTGGTACCTGCATCCACCCCCCACAGAAATCATGAATAATTGTAGTCACTGGGCAAGTTCTGAGTGTGTCACAGATCTGGAGTCTCTCCTGCTTCCTTCCTGATTCTCAGTGACCATAGAGTGAAGTTTGAACAAGGTGGGGCAGCTACAGCCCATGAGCAACAAAACTGCAGGTGGTGGTGTTGCTGTGGCCCTGGTGAAGTCACCAGGAGTGCCTTCCTTTGTGCTGTCTTTACGTGAGGTTTTGCACTGGGGGCAAGGCTCCTCCTTCATCTTCTCATGCCAGAGCCATTTCCAAACCTCATTTCCAAACCCTCCAAAACGAGATTTGATGATCCTAAAAAAATAGGTTGCACTGGACTTGTGCTGTGTTTGCTCCTGAGCGTTTTCTGGATCTTTCCAGCTCTGTGTGGAGAGAGGCCTCCATGACAACACAGGCAGAGCATTGGGTTCAGCACAGAGCAGCCTTTTCCTCCTGCTCTGCTGGTGTCAGGGATCCTGGAATTCTCTAGTTCCCAGCACGGTATACATGGGCTTGCTCAGAGCCATGAAATAATAGGCAGGGGCCTGTCCCTGGTGTTATTTCTGGAACAGAATCCTTTTGTGTCAGTGAAAATTCTCAGTGAAGACTTGGAATTTCCTTCAAGAATCAGGGTTTTAGCGCTGCCTGCAATTTAGTTTTTAGCTGTGCTTTACAAGTTGTATGCGAGCTACTGGGAATTTTCTAAGAAAGAAACTGTTTCCCAGTAGATCTTTGGACTTCTCTCTTCTAGTAAACTCATCTTGGGAGTCTTGTCCCAGGATTGTGGTGCAGCTGTGCTGGTGTAGGGGTTCTTATATAAATAAAATAGCTGTTATTTTCAGTAAGCAAAGTATGTTCTATCAGTACATGGCAGATTTATTTAAATATAGCAGCAATTCTGTCCTAAACTTACTAAGTTTCCATTGGGTTTTGTCACCTCAAAATCTTTTCTGCTCTGAGTTTCCTGAGCAAATATGCTGGGCTTCTCTTTTTTGCCCCCTCCCTTCCTTATTCCAGCAGCTGCTTGGAACTTGGGGTGTGGTCTTTGGGAGAGGCACTGTCACTGCTCCTCTCTGGGTTTGTCCAGTGAATCTCTACCCTAACACCAACCTCCGTTTAATCTTTTATTGGGATGCCTTGCTCTCCTTTGGTCTCATAGGCAGCAAGCGATAAATCTGAATAAATTCATTTATTTATGAATGCTGAACTCGATTTCCAGGAGCACCAGGTGAGAGGTGTGGAATTACACTCCTCTGGGCAGGCAGGAGCTGGACCAGAGGGAACATCGCTCCCATGGCTACTGGAGGATCAAATGCCACTTTCCCTCAGGGGCTGCTGTCTGGGGAGCAAGGTTTAAACTCTGACAGATTTATGAATCATTTCATCTCCTAGACTTGTTCCTTCCCAAAGGGCCTGGTGAGAGGAAGCCCATGCCAAGGTTTTGATTGCTTTTATCCCCAAGGCATTGATCCCATTGCTCTTGAAGCAACAGAATCTGTAAATAGTTTCTCGGTTTGTGTACACATGGAGCCTTGATAGGTGTTTTCTAATATGTGTATTTTGTATAAAAACACCACTCTGAGACTTCTGTCTTCCAGGTGTCAGCACTGCTGCTGTCCTCCATACCAGAATAATGGGGTATGGAGCATTATAAGGGGCATTTGGATTAATTAGTGGCTGTAAATCGCGAGGAGCTCTTTGCATAAGTGGCTCAAGCAGCTGCTGTTCCAAGTGACCCCTGTTTTTCCTCCGTGGGTGTCCAGAGTGGGCAGACAATGCCTGTGTCTGGAGAGTTAATTACTCTGTGTCCCTTAATCACCACGGTTTGTAATCCTGTGTGGAAATCCACATGCCACAGGGCCCAATCAACACCTCTGCATCATCCCCTGCCAGTCAATACACAGCTCTTAGCCATCCAGAACCATTCCTGAGGCGCTGCTTTGGGCATGCCTGGACAAGTGTTGCCGGGCCATACTGGAAGATAGATTAGCAAGGTTGGTAACAACAATCCCTGTTTGAAAGGATGTGCATCTTTGGGCTCCCAAAGAATGTCAGGAAGGAATTGCTGCTCTGTAAAGCACAGCACGTTACAGTAGAGGTAAATTGTGTTTCCTCAGAATGCTGAAAACACTTCTCATTCTCTACCCCCCCCCCCCCCCACATTCTCACTTCCCCAAATCCCAAATAAATGCCACATTGAAAGAAAATTATTCCCTGCATAAGGGAAAAAATAGAAAACAACAATAGATTTTGTTCGCTGACCTCAACATGACTCCTCCTTTGCCCACAACACTCCATTGTTCTGCTAGGTCCAGACAGCACAAGGAGCAGACTCATGTTCCCTGTTCTTAATCCCAAAGCTGCAGTCCATCACTTATATTAAGGGTCCTTGGGGTTTGGTGTTTTGGTTTTTTTGGTTTCTTTCTCCTTGATCCGACTGAGCTGTTTTCAACAAGTGAGGAACAAGGATGAGAAAGGAATACCTCTCTCCTAACCTGGGAAATGAGCCATGCTCTGATAAGAGATTCCCCCCTTAGGCTACATGAGATATGAGGGATAATTTTTCAGAGTGTTCTATTAGGTTTAAATTAGTAAAGGGAAAGGAATGTATGTGTTCAAGAAGGTATCTGAACTGATACTTTTGGAGCTGTCAGGCTCTGTGCTTACAAAATGAACCTTTTTTGTCCTTTTAGGTAAACTGGAACGTGTGTTCCACTACGTGTTCTACAGGAGGAAGAACATCCCTACTCCATCTCTGTGATAGCAAGATACACTTTGGAATGTGGGGAAGAAAAGAAGGGGATTTGAATACCAGAGACTGGAGCTGAGAGACTCATCCCATAAACATTACCTGAACGATGTCACTTCATGGAGCTGGTTGGAAGTCGGTTCCATTAACAGCAATTGTTCAAACCGGAGCAGGTCCACGTCTAAAGCAGCTTTTATCCTCCCCAGAAATCAGTCAGCATGCTGGTTCGGTCACTGTGTGATGGGAGGGACGGTCAGGTGTATCTGCTGATCCCTACGGGAACTGCAGCCCACATCAGGAGCGCCTCGAGGAAAAGTCGTGCATGTTTACAGCAATATCGGAGTCCTTGGCATCAGAATAAATTTGAGGCCGTCATCACTGGCATTGCACACAGGGACTGTGCCTCGAAATAGAGCTTGGCAGAGCGCAGCACGGATGATGGCTCGGTGGAGAAGGCGGATTTACTTTTCCAGCCCGTGACATTTCATAAACATTTTCTGTTTGTTGAAGCTGTGGAACCTCACCAGGTCAAACCCAGCACTAATCTGCCAGAGCCGCCTCCCCAGACTTTTGTCTCTAGTGTGTACACACATCCAATTGCTGCAGTTTGGGTTTTGTCCCGGGACATTTATCCCTTTGTGTTTGTCCAGGAGCACGTTGAAACAGCCCCACAAATCCAGATGATGATTTGTTTTATCTGGTCCTGAGGACTCCATTAAGCTGAGAAGCCCTTTGATACAGCCTTTGACTTGGGGGGTTGATCCACCACCTCCTTCCTGACCCATTGGACCTTCGATTCATTCCACAGGAAGGGAAATTTGGAAGTGCACATCCCAAAACCACTGCAACACTGAGCTGTACAGAAATCTCAGTCTGAAGTAGGACACGGAGGGGTTTTAAATCCACACGGGTTTTTGGAACCCTCAAGGAACAGCATGTGAGGACAGATACACACAGAGAATTTAACCCGTGGGGGCTGAGCATTCTCAGGCTGCTCCAGTCAGGTCAGCGTTCATCTTTATCCTGTATCGGGACAGGGGAGCGCTGAGGGACTGAGGGTCAGCGCCGCCACCCCCCCACCATCGCCTCAGGGCGTGCGCGCGCGGGCTCGTCACGGTTGCCAGGGCTCGGAGCACTGGGCGGGGCGGAGGCAGAACTCGCCTGGCCAATCAGAACAGACCCTGCCTCGGTCGGCGGCCAATCGCCGCCGGTAAACAACACGCCCTCCCGCACGAGGCGGGAAGGGGGCGGGGCGATCGCCGCCGCCGGCCAATCAGCGGCTGGGAAACGCGGGCCAATCCGAGCGCGGGAGGGTTTGGGCGGTCTTTTCAAAACGGATGAGGCGCCGCTGGCGTCCCTTTAAAGGCGTGATGCGTCCCGCGCCGTGTCCCTCCGCGCGGCCTCCCCGCCCCGCCGCGGCAGCGCGCTGCCTCCCCGCTCCTTGCTGAGCTGGAGCTCCGCGGGCCGGCCGCGCCCTGCCCGGACCTCTGAGACCGCTCGGGGCACCGTCGCGTCTCATGAGTAGTGGTCGGACTATTTGACTTCCGTGCGCCGCCTCACCGGCGGGGATCGCTCCGCGCGGGATAACAGAAGCCGTGGGCGGGGACGCGGCGCCGCCATCTTGGAGCGGGGCCGGGGCCGGGGCGGAGCGGGAGCGGCTGGGGATGGTGCCGTGATAGTGCCGTGACTCCCCGCGGGGGTCCAGGCCGCCCTGCCTGGATGCGGGGACAGCGGCCGAGCCCACCCCCGTCCGCGCGGTGACGGGAGCCGGGCTCGCCTCCCCCTCCCCGAGCGGTGAGGGCCGCGGGGGGGGCCCGGTGTCCCTTTGGCCCCGGCCTGCGGGGCCCCTTTGTTTCCCTGCTGCGGAGGGGAAGGAGGCGAAGGGAAGGGAAGATGAGCAGCGAGGCGCTGTGGCTTTTCAAGCAGCTGAACCTCCATCTGGAGCTGGAGGGGCGGTTCCAGCCCCGAGAGAAGGGACTCAGCCTCATCGAGAGCGCCGCCGAGGTGGGTGAGGGCGTCGGGGGGTTCCTCAGGGCAGGAAGAAAATTTCAGAAATTTAAGAGAAAATTCCGGCTAATGGAATTTAATGTGCGTTAACTGCGGAAAGTTAATTATTTTCTCTGTGTGCGCCGCTTGCCTTTTGTTTTAATTCTATATTTGTCTGTAGATATTAACGCTACCTTATCCTGCTGTGACCTGCAGGGCAAGCAAAATATCTTGGCGTTTAGTGTTTATTGTTTAAACTTAGAGCACAGGAGCCAGAGGTTGTGTATTGTTTCCGTCAGGGAAGCTTCCTGCCGCTGCAGGGGAGGTGGGATGTAGCAAACAAGGGAAGCGCCGGCTTTTCATTGGCGCTGTCTGGGGAAATGAACCCAGAACCGCTCAGTGCTGAGCAGCAAAATGTAAATAGACCATAAACATCTCCACGTTAACGACCAAAGTTCCTTACTGAGTTCGGGTCAGGATTATTATGTGCCTTCGGGTGCTTGTGAGTTCTTTGGGAAGAGCCTTAATATTTAACAAAAAGAAAAAAAAAATCCTGAGATAAGTCTGCTTGTTGTGAAAGCAGAGCTGTTGCTTAAATACTGACACGCAAGGCAGAGAGCTGTGTGGTAATTTCTAAGGTCAGGAGTCACTGTGTGTGCCTGCAGTTGGTAACTTAAGTAAGTCTTAAATGTGTCTTTAAAGAAGCAAGGGGAGAGTAGGAAATGTGGTTGTGCTGGCTGTTGCACCAGTGAGACTCAGGACCTGGCTGTAATCCCTGAACCGTGGGTGTGATTTGAGTCCTAAGTGTCTGAATTTATTTTCTTTTCAATTCAAGTGAAATAAATTGTTGAAAGAAAAAATTGCTTCTGTTTGATCTAAATAAAAGACGATTTAGGGAGTGAGACACAGAGATTGCTGCTGCCACAGATTATTTCTGACTTTGCCTCTTCTGCCATAGAATGAAAACACTCTGTGTCCAAGACAAAGAAATGCCAAGGTGGAAGATCTTTGGAGTCTGACCAACTTCTTTGGATTTGCAACTGAAACGTTTGTTTTGGCTGTCAACATTCTGGACAGATTCTTGGCTCTTATGAAGGTATAAGTGTGGCTGTTGATTCAGTAGCAGCTCTGAGGTCTCCTTTGTGAACCTGGAGTTGAGTGCAGTTCCTTTTACCTCTAAAGACAAGTAGCAGCTTGATTTATTTCCTCTCATAAATCTGTAACCATCACCATGTAGATGTCTGAGAAAGGGGGAATTAAGGGAAACAAACCAATAAGAGTTAGAGGCTGTCTCTGGGTACTCTGCTAAGGCTTAGTCTTGGGATGGACACCAAGTGATCATTTCCTGGTTGTTTTTATCGTGTTTGTGCTGCTTTAAGGCAGGAAGCTTGGACCAAAACCAGCTCCTCATTATTATATGAGCAGAAAAAACGAGGTTGCATCAGTTTTCTGGTCTGACTGGCCTTGAAGTGGCACAAAATGTACAGTGGTAGAGGGGAGAGAAGAGCAGGGGCAGGAACAAGCTATGGTAGGATGGGGCTGCCCGGAACAGGCTCAGACTGGATTTGTGTGGGCTGTGAGCGAGCACTGCTGCTCGGAGGAGCAGGGAATTGCAGTTCCCACCGCGATTTATTTGTGTCCTGGTGAGGAACAACCTGAGGAGAGGCTGTTCAGCTGTGGGACTTCACTTCCTCAGCCCCAGCGGCTCGGTGCTGCCTTGTGGGCTCTGCCAGCTGGGGCTTGCTCCAGCTGAAGTGCTTGTGGCTGGGGGAGGTGTAGGAGCTGGCCAACACCAGGTTTGGTGGAGATCAGCAAGTCTTAGAGGTGTGGGTGTTCCAAACACGATGGTGCTGAAACCCAGTGTTGCTGGGGAGGTGCATTCATGGTGCTTGCTCTGGTTTTTAGGTGAAACCGAAGCATTTGTCTTGCATTGGAGTTTGCTGCATCCAGCTGGCCGCCCGTGTCGTGGAGGAGGAATGCAATATTCCATCTGCTCACGAGATCATCCGGATCAGCCAATGTAAATGCACTGTGTCCGACCTGAAACGGATGGAAAAGATAATTTCAGAAAAGTTGCACTTTGAATTTAAAGCTACTACTGCCTTAACCTTCTTGCACTTGTACCATAATATTTTACTCTGTCATACCTCAGAAAGGTGAGTTGGTGGTGTTTGCTGAGCGCCCTTTTTAATCCCCTCTGCAGTGATTTCAGCCTTGGCTGTAGAGGAGGCAGCTCCTCAGTTTTTGCTTCCTGGCAATGCTTGTTCATGCAAACCCTTCTTCTCTTGGATGTCTCACAGGAAAGAAATATTGAATCTGGACAAGTTGGAAGCACAGCTAAAGGCTTGCAACTGCCGTCTAGTCTTCTCGAAAGCAAAAGTGAGTAGAAGCAGTTGTTTGTAGCTGCTGAGTAGGTTTGTGATGGCTGTGGTGCTGAGTGCTGTTTTTTGGTCCTTTCAGCCATCTGTCCTGGCCTTGTGCCTTCTCACTCTGGAAGTTCAGATGCTGAAATCTGTTGAGCTATTGGAGATCCTTCTGCGTGTTCAAAAGCATTCAAAGGTGGGTATTTTCACTGGATTGGTTTTCCTGTGGTTTGGGCTGCCGCTGTTAATGATGGGTGATGTTACATTTAGGGGTCCCTTAAATGCCTCCCTAAATGTGTCCTTACAGGTTCTGTTTGGCTGAAAGAAGCAGTTTAAAAATAATGTATTTTAAATGTATAAAATCAGAGGAACTGCTGACCCAGTGTGTCTACAATGCACGCTTTAACAGGCAGCTGATTGAACTTGTACAGTTCTGGCTGTGTGCTCTGCAGAAACTTCCAGTCTGTTCTGGGACGGCTGGGCTGGTTATTCCTTTTGCCTGAATAATTAAACGTGAAGGAATGGCTGGAGCTGTGTCAGGCTGGATATCAGGAAAAGGTTCTTTCTCCAGATGGAGGTGAGGCACTGAACAGACTCCCCAGGGAATGGAGACAACAAGAGCCTGGCATAGCTCAAGGAGCATTTAGACAATGCCCTCGGGTACAGGGTGAAACGGGTTGAATTGTCCTATGCAGGGGCAGGAGTTGAACTCCGTGATGTTTGGATGCTTGTGGATCCCCTCCAGCTCAGGATATCCTAGGAACTAAAATAGGATTAGTAGCCTCTAGCTGCACGCTGCCTCCATTCATGGCCTAGAAGCAGCTTGTCACTCTTAACAGTCAGATTGAATGACCTCAGTTTCTTAAGGAATGGAAGTAGTTCCTTAAAGTACAGTATTATTCTATTTGAAAATGGTGGTTTTTAATTTTTTCTTCTATTTTAAAGCAGTTTAAAAAAAACTTCACTTCCATTTGAAAATGGAATTTTAAAAAAGTTTAATTCCATTTTAAAATAGAATAACCTTTGTTTCTTCTTTGGAAGTGATAAAAAAAATGGTAACAAGGACTGACAGGCAAACTGTCAACCTAACTCCACAGGGACTTGTCTGGAAGGTGTGTAGGAGTTGGTATTTCACCTTTAAAAGCAACTTTGACAAAGGTATCATAGTTATGACTCACTTCTGTCTTGTCCTGATGTTTTTTCCAGGTCTTTCCCAAGAAGGTAAAATGGAGGGAGGAGTTACGCTTAGAGCAGCCTGTGTGTTACGGACTAACTAACTTCTGGGGTTTTTGGTGTTTTTTTTCAGATAAGTGATAGTGACCTACTTTACTGGAGGGAACTGGTCTCTAAATGCCTGGCAGATTATTCTTCTCCTGAATGCTGCAAGCCTGATCACAAAAAACTAGTTTGGATTGTTTCGAGGCGTACAGCCCAAAACCTACAAAACAGTTACTACAGTGTTCCCGAGTTGCCTACGATCCCAGAGGGTGGATGTTTCAATGGAAGTGAGAGGTTGGTAGCACTCAGCTGCTTAATTTGTTGGGAATTCTCCTTTTCCTCTAGTGATCATGGCAACTCTGTATAACTATGGCTTAATTGCTGCCACTTAGGGGAAAAGTGCTAGCTCTTAGAATATTGCTGGGCTTGGAATATGCCTTCAGCACATGGAGAGGAGGGGGAAGTGTCATTGTGGTGTTCCGAGGTACTTGGCTGGGTAGGGGGGA